AAGTCATTCTGGAATCAGAGAGAGCTGAGCAAAGCTCCACAACCACTGGACAGATTTGCATTATTCTTTCTTTCCTCCCTTCCTCCCTCCCTTCCCTCCTTCCTTCCTTTTTTTCTTTCTTTATTCTTCTCATCAGCTCCAGAATCAGGAGTCCCTAGTCTTGTATGAAGTCAGAGGTATCTCCCTCACTTCCATGAGAACATGGCTTCGCAGAGGGCTTCCTTCCATAATGTCCCCTATCCCAAATGCGTTTCTGATCTCAGACCTTTGCGTTGTCCCTCCCCAAAGATCTTATGCTTCAGTGAAATAAAAAACAGTTCTTCTAAAGTGTGGTTGAGGATGTTCCCTCTGATCTCAGCAACTTCTTTTGTCTTTATTTAAGCTTTTATGAACCTTAAGAATACATTTCCTAAGACCAGTCAAATAGCAGGCAAGATACTGGGGTAAAAAATAAAATAAAAAGAAACATGCAGGGCATGGTGTCACATACCTCTAGTCCCAGCTGCTCGGAAGGCTAAGAGGGGAGGATCTCTTGAGCCCAGGCGTTGGGAGGACAGCCTGGACAGCATAGTAAGACACTATCTCTAAAATGAAAATACACATATGCGCACACACGCACACTCACATATGTAATCAAAAATAAATAAAAAACCCTCAGCAGTAATTATCAATGCTTTTTAGAGCTGCAAATTTTTAAATGCTAAAAATATCTCTCTAAAGCATCCCATTTTCTTTGCCGTCTTCCTCCACCCTAAGAAGTTTGGCTGACTCATCAACTCATCTCACAATGGTTTTCACTGGTGGTGCCAGGGTTGTGTTCACCATCTGAGTACAGTACGAAAGACACAATGGTTGTGTTTCATTAATTGAAACATCTATTGTGTGAGTGTCTCTGTTTCCCCTTTCACTGGGTGGTATCCAGAAATAGTGTGTGTGGGAATGTGGATGGGGCGAGTGATGGCATGAAGCTGATCTTGCTTTTCATTTTTGACATAATCACACAAAGTAATGAAGGGCTTGCTCTGCAGAATTGTTTTTGTCTTTAGCTCTAGGGTCTTTTGGAGGCTCATGTTTTCTATCCTCCAACCTGGCAGGTGGACCCTGAGAGATTGGCATGCTCAGGACAGGCGGATCCTTGGAAGCTCCTGATTAGCATTGTGCAGTGCTGACATTTAGAAGCGTGCTTCACCACATTCCCACTCTGGGCATTCTTATATTGTTATGTGACTTGGGCACCCAGAAGTCACACTAGCTGACAGATTTGTTTTATGAAAGGCTGAGTGGGAGTGGCCGTGGGGCAGAAAGACCAACTGCTCATCTCTTTCCACAGTTCACTGTAATAACCAAAGCTGAGACCAGAACTGTCTCTGTAAAGATCCGTCTTTTAAGTGGTGAACACTTTCCTTTTTTCTTTTTCTTTTCTAATAGAAATTAGGCTAGGAATTTTTACTTGGGGAACTAAATTGTTTTTGCCACACTGAAAGAAGATGTCAGGTGCTTTTTGGATATTTGTACCTGGAGAACCCTCTTCTGCTTCCTCAAATCCCACTTCTCTGGCTCACTAATAATGTGGCAGTTGCACAGGTCAGTGGATTTTATTTTTAAAAATGACTTTGGAGTTCATGTTCCAGATGGCTGACTTTACCAAGTTTAGCTAATTGAAGTTTGTGTAAATGTTCTGGATTTTGTGAGATTTGCTCCCAAAGTGAGATTTTAAGTAGCCAGTCTATCTATATGAGACAAATGTGTTCACCCCTCCCCCACCCCACCTGGTTGTGATTAGCCAGATTTAAAACACAAAGAGGCAGGTGTGAATAGCTGTCACTGAAGGATCCTTGTGAGGCCCTTGCTCTGTGGCTCATGACAAAGATGCAGCAAGGGGTATGTGTTCCAGGCTAGGGTTCTGTGAAGGGATCTGGCTGCCTGGCTTTCGGTCTGGTGCTTAGGAGGGCTGATTGGGCCCATCTGGCTACTGGGGGATCCCCTTGCTTCCTCATCATTCCGAGTTTGGCCTGAAAAGCGTCAAGTTGGCTGCATATATTTTGAACTCCTACGAAGACCATCTGGTCTTTTTGATTCAATTGTCAACATTTTTTTAAAATCAGGCAGTCTGTGTTAAGCCCTTGCAGTTCTGTGCCTCAGTGACATCACAGCAGCTCCCCCACATGGCACAGCAGGGACCTCTCTGGGCCATGGAGACCCTTGACATGCCCTTTCCTCTCTTAAGCTCTTAGCTCTGTCTGGAGTACCTGGATGTCTGGCCCGTTTTTCAAGGTCAACACAGATTTCTCCCACTTGATAAAGCCTCTAGAGGGCCATGCAAATGTGTTTCCTCGTTTCTTTGGACCTTTACCTTTTATGTTCCCTTAGACCTTTGTAATTTCTTCATCCATCCATTCAGTCACCCATCCAAAAAACAGGCTTATTGATGCCTGATACATACCAGACTTGGGGTGTGTCAGTGAACTAAACAACAAAGATACTCCCCTTCCCTCTTGGAGCTTACGCTGTAGCTGGGGGAGATAGTATACATAAACAGTATATGTAGTAAGTCCATCAGTTTTGTAGTATTTCAGAGGGGGATAAATGGAGTGGAATGGGAAGGAGGAAAAGCAGAGCAGGATCAGGTTGATCAGAAGGGAGAAACAGGCGACAGCAGCAAGATGCTGCAGGAATGAAGTTGGCAGGCGTTGGAGGCACTGAGGCTGGCCGGGGCTCATGGGAATTTTCACGCCTTCTCCTTTCTACCCAACCAAAAGGACAGGGCCTGGGCCTTCTCACTGATTTTCTGCTTTCAGCATTTAGCACAAAATGCTTTGTGTGTAGCTGGTGCTCTATAAATACCTGGGGAGATGGAAATGAATGTGTAAAAATGAATTTGAGGACAAATAGACCATTTCCTAATTTTTACTTTTTTCCTTCCCTTTTTAAAATTTGCACAATAAATCAGTGCTGAAGAAGCTGAGATTCTTTTCCTATTTACTCATCGTTTTCAAGACAAAAGTTGTCACTGGCGCTTGCTCAGTGGGGACAGGGTTTCGGAAAGTGTTGGTCAATTCCTGGACTGCTTTTTGATAAAGAGTACAATGTTAAGATGTAAACTTCAGTTCCATTTCAGAAGACCCAGAGGAGCAGAGTTTGATTACTGCTTTGGCCAGCTTTTTGCTCTATAAGAATCATTTTTTTTTTTTTTTTAAATAAATAACTTTTGGGAACTGCACAGGGGAAAAAAATCTTGAGTGTATTTTATTGTCAGTTTGCCATGGAAAATTCAAGAGTCTCTTGAAAACCTCTGGATATAATTAGCTTTCAGTCTGCAAATATTTATCAAGTAAAATGACATTGTCCCAGTGCAGACCAACAGCTAACATGAATTGTGCAGACTAAAAGTCACCTGACCAATGACTGCGTACCACTCGGGTTTCAGCTCTTTCCTGAGGTTTAGCGATTATAGGAAATCAATACAGAATAACTTCGTGGCCTGCATTCAGTCAATATAGCTGGGTCTTGAGTTAAAAAAAGAAAAATCCAAGGCTGCTGTTGCCTTCAGCTGCCCAATTTAAAATGTAAATGACTCCTGCAGCTGATAAAATTCTCCCTTGAGAGCTGCAGAGCACTGTGTAACTTAGAGCCTTGAATTCAATACAGCATCCACCACACAAAGAGCGTGAAGAGTGTGTCATAGGCTCATAGAATGTCAGAGTCAGGAGGCTCCCATGGGGAAGCTGGTTGCAGGTTCCCCTGCTGTGGGTCACAATGTGGGGAGGGGAAAAGGAGGCACAAGAGGGCGAGGCTCCCAGGGTTACCTCCACCCTGGTATCTGGCCTCTTTCTCCCTTAGGCCTGGACATACTTTGACTGATTTTATTGTGCTTATGATTCTGTGTAAGAGTTTGTATGAAGAAAGTGTTCTGAGGTCAAAAATACTTGGAATAAATAGTTTGACTCAAAATCGCTCCCTCGTTTGCCCACTGCAGCCTGAAGAAGGTAGGATACACAACTAAGTTGTGTGTTCTGCAGTTCTGACAGCAGCTGGAGATGCATCTCTGTGGGACTGTTTCCTTCTGTGTCTACCTCGTTATCTTAGTGTGAGGATCAAATGGGATAGACAGGAAAGTCACAGTGCACAGTATACATTGTAATGCAATAGTTAAATGCAAATGTTGTGATCATTTTCTGTTTTCCCCACTAGAGCAATCATGTAGGTTGTCAAACTGTGTTCCAGGAAACCCCAAAGGTCCTTGCAGGGGGAATCAGGGACCTGTCTTCGTTAGACAAAGCATCTTCCTTTTTAATCTGCTTTCTATCTTAGGCTTCTAGGTAAAATTTCTGTTGAAGGTAGGGCTCGTAAATAGCTCTGTTCAATACTGGTGAATGCTGGCAGCCGCCTGTGCCTGTTGAAATGGACAGGCTTAGGATGTTCAGGATGATGACTGGCTGAATACCTCATTCAAGATGATTACCCTATTATGTAAGCACCAGAAATAGATTGGCATGAGCCACACGGACTGAAACTCACCATGGAGGCTTTTGAGCTGCATTGAGAAGACTTAAAAATCAGGATATACTAGGCCGGGCGTGGTGGCTCATGCCTGTAATCCCAGCACTTTGGGAGGCCAAAGTGGGCAGATCATGAGGTCAGGAGTTCCAGACAATCGTGACCAATATGGTGAAACCCCATCTCCACTAAAAATACGAAAATTAGCTGGGTGTAGTGGTGCACACCTGTAATTCCAGCTACTCAGGAGGCTGAGGCAGGAGAACTGCTTGAACCTGGGAGGTGGAGGTTGCAATGAACCGAGATCAAGCTACTGCACTCCAGCCTAGTGACAGAGCCAGACTGTGTCTCAAGAAAAATAAAAAAAAATCAGGGTATCCACAAGGCCTTTTCTTTTTTGGCTCTGTTTGTAACTGATAGGATGGTTTGATATAAGTACCCAGGTGGAAACCAGGTGGTACCTGACAGGTGATGGTGTTTTCCTTCCTGTCTTTGTTTTTCAGTGCACTTACATTTCAATCGACCAAGTTCCCAGGACCCATGCCATAATGATAAGCAGACCCGCCTGGCTCTGGGGGGCAGAAATGGGAGCCAATGAACATGGAGTGTGCATAGCCAATGAAGCTATCAGCACCAGAGAGCCAGCTACTGAGACAGAAGCCTTGCTGGGGATGGATCTGGTCAGGTACTGCACGGTGATTCTTTGAAACAACTTCCCAGAAAAGGTTGGAAATGGGGACAGGATTTATTTCTCTGTATTTTTTTTTTTTTTAAACATAATCCTTCTAAAGATGATGTGTGCCTTTTGATAGATACTTTAAGTTGATGGAATAAAAGAGTGGATTACAATGGAATATTATTTAGCAATAAAAAAGAATCAAGTGACTGGGCATGGTGTCTCGTGCCTGTAATCTCAGTACTTTTGGAGGTGGAAGGTGGGTGGATCACCTGAAGTCAGGAGTTCGATACCAGCCTGACAAACATGGTGAAACCCTGTCTCTACTAGAAATACAAAAATTAGCCAGGCATGGTGGTGGGTGCCTGTAATCCCAGCTACTCGGGAGGCTGAGGCAGGAGAATTGCTGGAACCCAGGAGGCAGAGGTTGCAGTGAGCTGAGATCACGCCACTGCACTCCAGCCTGGGCAACAACAGCAAGACTCTAAAAAAAAAAGTCGAGTACAGATACATACTAAAACATGATGATCTTGAAAACATTATACTAAGTGAGAGAAGCCAGACACAAAAGGTCACATATTGTATGATTCTCTTTATATGAAATATACAGAATAGGTAAATCCATAGAGACAGGAAGTTAGATTAGTGGTTGCCTGGGGTTTGGGTGTGGGTGAGAGAAAGGGGAGTGATTCCTAATGGGTATGAGCTTTTTTTTTGGAGTGAAAATGTTCTGAACCTTAGATTGTGGTGATATTTGCACAACATTGTGAGTATACTAAAAACCACTGAACTGTATAGTTTAAATGGGTAGATTTTATAGTATTTGAAATATGTAATATATATATATAAGAAAAATATTAAAAATCATAAACTGGAAAAGAAAAGTAGAACAGAGATCACTTCCCTCCTTTCCTCTCTGTGTCTCAGTTGTTTTTTTCTTCCTTTTCCTCCTCTCCCAGCCACTAGGCAGCAGAAGGAACTGACTATGTGAGCTGGATGGGGCAGGGATCTTTGTCTATACACTCCTGTGTCATAAGTACCAGGAACTGTGTGCCTGGCCTATAATGGGTGATCAGTAACGAATTTGGAATGAGTGACTAAAGTAGAAGGTAGGCTGGAACAAAACAACATTCTGAAATGCCTTCTTTTGTCTCTGAAATAGTGAAATGAAATAGAATCATGACATAGTTGGAAGAAGATTGGGCTAGGACCTGGAGATCTTGGCTTTCATTGTAGATGTACCAAGTTACATCACCTTCTGGGCCACAGTTTCCTCATGTTTTCAATATGAGATCTAGATTGGATGACTTCTGAAGAACTCCCAAAGCTAACATCCTAGAAAAAGGAATGGGAGTTTGACTGTGGTTTTGTAAGGGGAAATGGCACATGTAGACAGCAGTCTCTGCAGCTCACTCCTCTGCCACCTGATGGAGAGTTCTGGGAGGGACACCCTTTTGGTAGCACGGTGCCTTCCTGCCTTCCTTACCCTTCTCTGCTGTTCCTCCTTCTTATACACTCAGCAGAAGCAGCTTCCCTGAGCTGGGGAAAAGGCAGAAAAACTCAGTTTTTCTTACAGCCAGTTATTTACTTGATTAGCAAAATGAAATGTATAGAATAACAAGTTTTGAGCTTATGTTTTGACAGCTCTTCAGTATTTTTTACTATATTTGCAGTATGGGAGTAATAGAACAGGCAAAATTACCATTTTAACAGTTGATTTCTAAGGGACAGTGAAAGGGGATTTTTTTTTGTCTTTCTTTGGAGCCCCTGATATATCTTTTTAAGATTATCAACCAATAAAACAACAGAAGTTTACTGAATATCTACTTTGTGCTGGACTCTGTGGGCACATGAAGCAGCTCAAAGCTTCAAAGGTATTTTAGTCTGGTTGCAGGAAGAAGAAAACTGAGCAATGGAAATTTTAAGAACAATGTAAGAAATTAGTAGAAGAGAGGTAACTCAAAGTGATCTGAGATTTGATGCCACGTGAACGGCACAGAATTCCGGGATGTAGCCTTCAGCAAACACTGCTGGATGTTCACAGATTATCACAGACTGGGCATATTTGGGAATGCTTTGAGGAGGAGATGCATTTGACCTGAAGCTACAAGTCTGAGGGAGCTAGACAGAGAAGATGCATTTGTCACAGACTTGGCATTGTGATAATTAGCAAGGGCAGGAGTAGATGACAGGGTGAGAGTTTAACCTTAGCCATGTAACTTTAACTACTTCTTGGGCTAGCTGTGTCTGGCTATTGCAGTAAGAAGGGTGTGAAGAGGACCCTGTCACTGGTAGGTTCTTCAGGGTAGGCATGGAGTTCCAGGTATCTGCACCTTAAGTACATCTTCGAGTTCAGGGTCTGGTTTTATCTTTAAAGCAGCTATGATCAGTTCAGCCAAGCATAGCCAGATTTTGAAGGGTCATTTTATACCAACCACATCCTGAAAGTAACGCATGCTCATTATCCAGCATTGTCCCTTACCTTTTTTTTTTTTTTTCAAGATGGAGTCTTGCTCCATTACCCAGGAGGCTCACTGCAACCTCCTTCTCCCAGGTTCAAGCAATTCTCCTGCCTCAGCCTCTTGAGTAGATGGGATTTCAGGTGTATGCCACCATACCCAGCTAATTTTTGTATTTTTAATAGGAAGAGGGTTTCACCATGTTTGGCAGGCTGGTCTCAAACTTCTGATCTCAAGTGATCCACCTGCCTCGGCCTCCCAAAGTGCTGGGATTACAGGTGTGAGCCACCACATCCAGCCCCAGAGTTCCTTTTTAATGATTTAATTCCTGTATTAATTTTTAAGACACTCCAGATTATATTGATACTACAGGTCCAAAAACCACAGTTTGAGTGGCAAGTTCTAGAGTGGTGGTTCTCAAAGTGTGGCTGGTAAACAAGCATTGCCTGGGAACTTGTTAGAAATGTAAATTCTCCTCCCCACTTCACACCCAAGGGCCAGCAACCTGTTTTAACAGTTCTCCAGGTGGTGGTGATGCACAGTTACAGTGAGAACCACTGCGCCAGAGGAAACTTTCTATCAGTTGGTTGCATTCCTTCAGTGTGGGGCTTAGTTCAGAGACGCATAAGGCAATGACAGTAGCAATGTAATAGGCATTGATTTTAAGATAAATATATAATTTGTGTATGTGTCCTAGAGCCTGTGGGCTGGTAGCACCTTTGCCTGAGTTTTGGTCAGGGAACTGGGCTTGTTCCACCACTTGGCCCTGCAGGCTGTACTCAGCTCATGCTACTGGCCTGGATCCCATGTCTGCCAAGGGCAAGCCAGGCACAGAGGGGCAAAGGGTGTGTGAGCAAGCATGGGGTCCAGCCACTGTACATAGCCAGGTGTGCCAGCTATGGCAAGATGGGCAGCTCCAGGTGCCGGCACAAGTACTAGCTTTGTATGAGGCTGTAGCTGGACCAGACATACTGCAAACAGCTTCCATGGCAGTCACCAAGGAACATGGTGGTGCTCGGAAGCTTGGAAATGCCAGAAATTGCATTTGGGCTCTTGAGAGAGCAAGGATGTCCAGGTCCAGAGCCATGGCTTGGCAGCTGCAGCTGCACCTGGGACCACAGGGCTCCTACCCCGCCAACTCGGTAGGGGCAGGGCTCCCACCAGCCTCACAGAGCATGCAACCCAAGCCCTGCCTCCCCATTGGGGCTGGCATCTTCACAGTGGCTCCTCCAGATGGACTACCGCTGCCATCACCAGCACTTTAGGAGGATCATTTGAGCCCAGGAGTTCAAGACCAGCCTGGGCAACATGGCAAAAGTCTGTTTCTACAAAACAAATGCAAAATGTAGCTGGGTGCATTGGTGCATACCTGTAGTCTCAACTACTTGAGAGGCTGAAGCAGGAGGATTGGTTGAATACAAGAGGTTGGGGTTGCAGTGAACCATGATTGCACTATTGCACTGCAGCCTAGGCAACAGATCAAGACCCTGTCTGAAAGAAGGGAAAAAAAGGGCCTGGCATGGTGGCTTATGCCCTGTAATCCCAGCACTCTGGGAGGCCAAGGTAGGAGGATTGCTTGAGCCCAGGAGTTCAAGACCAGCCTGGTCAGCATGGTAAAACCCTGTATCTACAAAATATACAAAATTAACCAGGTATGGTGGCCCATGCCCATGGTCCCAGCTACAGTGGAGGCTGAGGTGGGAAAATTGCTTGAACCCAGGTGGTGGAGGTTGCAGTGAGCTGAGATCATGCCACTGCACTCCAGCCTGGGTCACAGAACAAGACCCTGTCTCAAGAAAAAAAAAAAAGGAAGGAAAGAAAGGGGAATTTATTTTCTAAATATGAGGGTGCCACTTATAATCCAAGTTCCGTCAGACAAGATAATGCTTCTGGGCCTCAACATGGATGAGAACTAGGAAGTGTTTGGAACCCATTAGTCAGTGGTATGCTGATAAATGTTTAATAACCAGCCTGGTGGAGGGAAGGGGCAACCCTGTTTGAGTCCTTTTTCAATTTCCATGGTGTAAATACTCCCATCATTATCGGTTTAAAGCTACCAACAGTTTCACAACTGGCTCAAAATCCCTGAAACTTAACCATCTGCTCTCCAAGCTGGTAGCAGCTGGCTCCAGCAGATCGCCGCATTCTTGCAGTTTCATGCGTCTTCTTCCCTTTGCATAATTACTTTATTCTTTTTTTCCTGCACACTGACTTTTGCTACTCCCATTTGTGTTTAACAGTGGCACTAAAACCTAGTCAATTCCAGTTTTTCAGAACATCTTATAATTCTGAACACGTTCCAACAGACCTTCAGCATGTTAAAAAATCACAGAAGTCCTTGACAAAAGACCAATGTGAAAATTTGGAAAGGTCTGTAGTTTGTCTCTAGGTTGTTGGTGAATGTGAGGTCTCACAGGTGATTTAAAAGGAGGCTCAGTCACTGTTTGTAGGAGGAAAGAACCTGTGTAATCAGAGTTACTATTTCCTGAACACTATTGTAATACATGCTTTGAGGAGGATGGAGAAAGAGGACACGTTGTAGTGTCTCTT